GTGTGTGTGTATGTGTGTGTGTGTGTGTCGTGTGTGTAGGTTACACAAATGTATATATATGAGGGACATACAGCAAGGACGCACATACTCAATATATATATCTATGCACATACATATACACATACATTTAAATATATACAGAAATACAAACATGTATATACATATATACACATACATACATATTTATGCACACATACACATAGTTAAATACAAACAGAAATACAATCACGTATATATATATATATATATATATATACAAATACATACACATACACATATGCTTCCACATTGTGTACACTAGACATACTCTTGGCAAGAAGGGCTGTTGCAGTAGAACACTTCCAGGCAATCTCTGTGTTGCGATGGTGGCAGGTCTATGTTGGACGCAATGGCCACCTCCTTCGATGGTTCGTCTTCAGTCCTTATTGTATCATCCTGTGAGAGTGTTGTTATAGAGTACATTTATACGTTTATGATTAGAAAGTACATTCATACGCTCAGTAGTTGAGCGTACATTTACACGTTCCTTATTAAAGAGTCCGTTTAAAAGTTTATTAGTAGACAGTTCATTCATACATTTATTATGAGGTACATTTATACGTTCAATAATAGAGAGTGCATATATACGTTCATTAATAGAGAATACATCTATACGTTTATTGCACGCGGTTGTGTACATATATCACACGCTACAGAACAAATACAGTACACTCATCACGCATTCGGTTGTGCTCTAATGCCAAAGGGTGTGCGTGTCAAGCGTTCTTGGTGAGTTCATAACAGCCGTTGGAGATATATTGGGATACCATCCTACTGGTTATTTTACCGACCGCTTTACCTAAATTTAGGATTTTTGGGTTTTCAACCAGTCTGGGGATGCTATACAGTACCACTCAACAACCACAAAAGCACCACAGAACGAGGTTTGACGTGTTTCGCAATTCAACATAACGTATCGTGACAGCACTCACCATATCTGGGCCATCGGTGATGAAATAAGGATTGACCTCGTCTGCGTATTGCGTCAAATCGACCACAAAATCGGCAGGATTGGCTTTGCGGTCCACTTTCACACCGGCGGACTCAAAATGTCCCATAACATCCTTAGTAATTGGCACACAACAGATCCAAAAAAAAAATTTGAAAAGGGCAAAATGACTCGTCAGATTAGGCGGAAACAATTCATTGTACGTAGCTATTACATCAGTGTCAACGTTAGGAAACACAGCCCTGCAGCCGTTACCAAGGGCTCCTGGGCTTTAGGGTTTTAGAGTTTTAGGGGTTAAACCCTGTCCGGCAAGACTACAAAGTATATCAAGACAAAGCTCGGCACCACAGTCTGTCCAATCCGTATATACAGCACTTACCACAATACACTATACAACACTTACCACAATACGCTATACAACACTCACCATAATAGACCATACAACACTTACCACAACACACTATACAACACTCACCATAATAGACTATACAACACTTACCACATTGGTCTATACAACACTTACCACAATACACTATACAACACTTACCACAATTCACTATACAACACTTCCCATAAAACACTATACAACACTTACCATAAAACACTATACAACACTTACCATAAAACACTATACAACACTTACCATAATACGCCCAGAGTACATCACCCTGCCTGCCTTCATCAAAAATAAGTCGTCGAACAGTCTAAAGATATCTGAACGCGGCTGATGAATGGTGCATACCTAATATGGGCAAAACAAAATAAAGGGCAGTTTAGTACGGCAGATGTACGACTCAGTCGACTCAGATACATTGTCGCGAATAAATTGTCGCAAATACATTATCGCAAATTGACTATCCTACTTCACTATTCACTGTATTTCCGACAATGTATCTAAAATAGCCTGTGATTGAACGAGGCCGATGAATGTGGTATATCTGCCATTCGTACAATAAAGCAAGAAATGGTTTGATACAGAACAGAGACATTGTCGCAAATACACTGAGAAGACATATGATCAGAGCCTGTGGTGCATATCGTAAGCGCAGCAGCCGCATGTTCATTGTGAACACGAGCCCAGGGTAGGTACCAACGCATTGGCTGCAAGTTATCAGCCATTCCTGTGAATTAATATATATTCATGCATAAAACAATATAT